AATTGGGAGGGTGGCTTCATACTGTCAAATAAAGGTTACATACTCCGTGAGGGAAAGATTCACTTACTAGTGCAAGTGCTAAATAGTAGTGTCATAAGTATTCGGCAAAGAGGAGTTCAACTGGAAGATAACTGTAGGATCGCTCATTGCTTGATCAGTAGAGGTAAGCACCTCTTTAAAATCCATCAAGGCCGTAATATAGGCACTAACCTATAAGTAGTTGCTACAGTTAATGCAGTTAAACTGACAGATAAAACCCTCCCTTCCGGCATGAGAAGAGTCGGTGTTGAACTCAGCTACCAGAGCTGTCCACATTGCCGCCAGAGTACGAGGAATACAACCAAGAAACGATTTTGCCTTAGGGCCATATGCATTATGAATGAAAGTAACTGCAAGACTTTCACGGTGATTGAAATCAAGAAAGCAGGCATGCTGTTTGGCTGACAGGGCAACTTCATGATTGAGGACAATCTCAAGGGCGCCAGCACGCTGGAGAAGGTATTGAAGGTCCTGAGACCACTACAGGTAGGTTAATTGATTCAACCTAGTCACTTCACTGTACTTACAGCAGTAAACTGAGTTATCTTTGGTAGCAGGGTATTTCAGAAGAGCCATTGACAAGAACCACCCAGAATAGTAAATAGAATATAGATCGAGTTGATAGATATGCAAAAAGGCAATATAAAGTGTGAAGGACAATGAAGATAAGATGGAATGCAACTTGTATCTTGGAGTGGAAGGCTACAAAAGGCTCATAACCTATTGTGAGAATATTTAATAGAACGAAGATATGGTGAAGTGAATGATTGCTTGAGAGACTCAAAGGCTTGACTATCTCAACAGAAAGTGCAAAAGACCCTGACTATCTACTGCTGAAAGTGAGATACAAAAGGTCGAGTGAACAATAACAAAGAAAAGAAAAAGGAGAAAGAAGCAAGGAGGTATTAGGGGTAGACTAGTGATAGAGTTTAATGTAAAGGAAAAGGTCTATTGTAGTGTGATACCATAGTAGTATCAGAAGCATGTTTCAACATTTTTTTTTGTTGAAACATACTTCTCGCACTACTTTAGTGTCACTCCTACCTACTACTGATACTTCCTCCTTGCATTAAACCTGGTGGCGCATCTATACCTCCTGGACTATTGAAGATACCTCCTTGCCTTTCTTACACACACCTCTTTTCTCTATTATTGTTATTGTTCGCTCAAGCTATTTGTCTTGCTCCAAGACAGTAGATAGTCAGGGTCTTCAGCTCTTCCTTCCGAAAACGTCAAGCATTCAAGTTTCTCTAGCAATCGATCACTTCTTCGTATCTCGTATCATCGTTCTATCCAACATTCTTACAACATTTTTTTATTATTATTATGAGGTCGAGAGTGCGGGTGTCTGGGCCAACCGTGGCGTACAATATGCTCATACCGCTCGACGAGAAAGTGGGAACATAATTGTCCGGACGAGGTTGTCGCAGCACGCCAATGCTCCCAAAGATCCCCACCCCCGAAGGACTCGTACCGGGACAGCACGCCCCACAGCCGGCGTGATTATGTATTTATCTATTCGAAGGCTGTCGGTGTTCAGTTGTCTTCCTCTATTATGGCCTCGCGCGAATGCAATTACCATAGACACTTCCACCCGGTCTCTGCGATTCTTTAGTCCTTTCTTCTATTCGTTCGTTTTCGTCTTCCATCCTTGCGAATGTGGGAGTCTGACTGAGTGGACAATACTTGATGGATCTGACGGTATAACGTCCTAGTCCGCTGCGACACCAAGAGTTAAAAGAAAATATGATATCATAACGGGAATAATCCCAGACATTCTACCGGCGGAAGACAGTATATCAGCATCAGATACTGCCCCCTTAGCGAACATAGTTATATAGCACATATAGTAGAGTAATGGAAGTGGCTAGTTAGGCCCTCGGAGGGCGCGCTCATAACGATCCATCAAGTTCACCGGGACAAGTACTGTACATCATCGCTGGCGCAATGCTGCCGCAGCAATTAGTGCAGAAGACTTTACCTAAGCCATGCACACACCCACGCAGCAGGTAAGGGAAGGATCTTGAAGAACTCGATCGCAGCGATTACAGACCACTTCTTGCAAGATCTTGGCAGTCATATTGTTGGGTATGCGAATGGACAGAGAGTGGTGGTTACGTATTATCAGCATATAGCCGGAAGGTATCGTCGTCAACACTCAGAGAGACTATGGGTAAGGGGATACCCCCTATATGTAGCTGGTTCAGGGGATTCCCGAGAGAGAGGGAACGAAGACAAGAACACCTCGGAGCAGCAGCGGAAAGTCTCTGAGATTATGAGAGGCTTTCAGTTCTTGGATCGAGGGATCATTGACCAGTGAACTTCCATCATCTCCATCTCACCAGCATCCTTGACTTTTCATCTGCTCCCGACCATTAACCATTCTGCAAACTTCTCAGAGACCTACTACCGATTGTTGTGACCAAACCCAAAGAGGTGAGAATAATAACCCCTGGTGAGGCTAATAGAGACCACTTCAAGGTTACCAGAGAACTGGTCCATCCTCTATCGTGGGTCATCGTTTATCTGTTTGCCATTGCCCGAAAAGAACGCCACCCTCCTCAACCGAGGATCCACAATATCATGCGACTGATCTGTAAGTATATACTGGCTACGCCCGCTAAGTGAGAGGGGGAGAGAAATAATCCCATAGTATCTATCATAGGCAGTCTCAAGTAAAGCACCCCCCCCCCAACCACACACCACCTCTTCCAAAAGTAAAAAAAAAAAAATACATCTTCCTAAGGTAAGATAAATATGTCATACTGCACCAAAACCCCACCGGACGTCCAGCACAACTATGGTATCATATGGTAGGCCCAATACCAGTACGGTATGACACTCCACCAATCTCCACCCCAAAACCACAAAAAAACAGATGATCCACAGAGCGAGCACTTAGCGAGTGATTTATCATGACTAGAAATAAAAACATCAATCCCCAGTTTTTTTCTTCCAATCCCACAGAAATGATCACTGTGAATCACTGCTACGGGGAGTAATCTCGGGAAGAAAAAGAAAGAAAAGGAAAAAAAGGTGCAAATCTGACAGACACGTTTTCCCTTCCATCTCCCCCCTTTCCTGGTTTTTGTTATTGTTCTGTGCGGCGTCAATCGTGTACAGTACTTTACGTATCGGCTTGGTTCACAACTTTTTTATCGACGCCACTCACCCCTTCCAACGCCTTAACGTACAAGTATCATACCCGGGCTTTAGCGGGGGGAATTTCCCGGCTGGTAGAAATGGTAAATGTGGTATCGTGGCCCTTTTGGCTTCTCTGGTGTGTGTGTGGCGCGGCGGGCCGTTCTTCTTCACTTTTGAACGACTTGTAAGACAAATCCGCCCCCGCCTTACGCCATAAGCAATCGCCATCACGTCCATGCGGTGGATAAACCCGAACCTTTAAGTTACCCCTGCATTCTCTACCCTATTATGATATTACAAGGAACGCTGCGGAATGTCATGAGTGGATGGAAAAAATGCGCGGAAGGTCGTGTTTTACTGGGGGAAAGAGGAGAGTTGCAGGGTATCATACGATATATACGGCAGCTCTGCCTCCCCAAAATGCTGACTAAATCAAAGGGTCATGTGACACTAGATTTCACCACTCTCGACCACCTTCTACGAGCGCAGTACCGTACTATTACCGGTACTGTAGTACGGCATTGCGGTAACCCTATTCCACCAAATCTGACCAAGTATATGAATCTAAGGAGGGAGGTAAACAATCATATGATTGGGCTTCACTCAAAAAAAATTTATTGCTATCATATAAACATCATACTCTCATAACTCATACCATCCGCTCCCGAACCTATTCCCATCAATTCATCCATACCCCTACCCCCCTACCCTCACCATCCTCTATCCATCCTTCCATCCCAACCATCATCCAATCATCCGAAACCATTACACAACCCGGGGAACAACCGCACTCCTTCAAGGTTCGGGAAAACAGACACATATCAATCGTCGGAAAAGGAACTTGTAAGGAAAAGGAAAAGGTGAAGAAAAAGGAACGGGTGACAAAGAAAATTCGTAGCAAGAGAAATATAATGATCGGCCGAGCTTTTATGAGTAAAAGGAACGAGGAAAGGAAGGAAATGTGAAATGAGCAAGCAAGCAAAGACGTTTTTAACATCCCGGATAGGTTTAAAAAAAAAAAAAAAAGGGTATAATATTGTACAAGAATCGAAGGTAAAGAAAAAAACAAGAAACGGAAGCTGTGAAAACGCTCGAAGAAAAAAGAAAAAAAAGCAGACCCTGAATTTCGAATCAACATAACTCCCCGTTTCCATGACTTGTTTTTTTGAGAAAAAAGGAAAGAAAAAAAGGCAAATAAATAGAGAAAACGAGCAATGAGCAAAAGTAGCAAGTTTGAAAGGTAAAAAAAAACCTTGGCTGACCAGACCAGAACTTGATAAACCTCAGCTTTTCCAAGACTCCATCGCCATCGTCACGATCGCCCACACCTTTCCTCCCTCTCCAGTACCGTATCCCCGTGACATTCCCCATTTCCATTTGCATCGCATTCCCACAGCCCCTTTTGAAAACATTCCGTCCATCCGTCCATCCAGGTTCCAGAGCTTAAAGCCAAAGGTCCGAGTAATCAAGCAAGTAGTCAGTAACCAGCGCGCACGCGCGCGCCCCCGCAGCCCCACATTTATAGTGAAATATATATACGCTAGGGTCCAAGGGAAAAAAAGAAGAGAAAGAAAAAAAGAGTACCGAAAACCCAAGTGCAGAACAATGAAATGTGGGAGACAAAAAAGGAAACGCAAAGCAAAGCAAGAGACAATGCGAAGGGCTAAAAAGCAGATGCAAACCAAACATAACCTCCATTGAATGCATGCGGTTTTATCTTTCCCCACTCCAATGCAAACCCAAACACAACACTCTTTTTTCTTGCGCCCCCCAACATGCAGCGATGAATGTGCCGAAACTCGATCACGATGACATTTTTAAACGACACCGACAATGGGCCTAAAATCGACCCCGTTGTTGGATCTAACCTTCTCCAGCCCATTCCCATAGCTCTCCTGATCAAAAGGACCCATGCCAGGACTAATCTCGAGTCCATATTCGCCGGCTTCCAAGGCAGTAGGTGACTCAACAACGTCGGAGGTAGCGATGTAGTGAGGATGTTTCTTAAGTGAAGGCGAATCCAGACAATCCACAAGCTCCGCCAGATTCCTTTTCAACCCCCCAACATGAACAACCAATTCCCTCAGCATATCCGTATCGAATTGCACCTTTCCCCCATTCCAAGTACCTTTCGACTTTCCCGACCCAATGGGATGATCCGACGTTTGCCAATGCTGCAGCTGCATCCGTTCCATGATCCCTTTAGCAACCTCCACAGGATCGTTCTTATCGATAGACTTCTTGGATAACGGCGAAGGCGAGGAAGAGGCAGAAGGACTGCGGAACCCATGCATCAGGTGAGGGAATGAGGAAGGGGTGGTAGGTAGGTTGCCACCACCGAATACATCATCGTCCGGTAACAGGATAGACGAGCGCCTTCTATTACGTGGGGTAGACTTGAAATCATCGTCAAAGGTCATCTCAGAATGTCTGGAAGGTGTATGCCAGCTAGAACGGTTTTGGCTCCTATCGGGTTGAACAGAAGGAAGAGTGTCCTCGTCATCAAGAGTAGCCAATGCAATGATCCCATCAGCCTCCTCCAAAAGATGTTTATTAGCCCCATTCCTAAGACCAGAAGCGTTTCCGATATCCCGCAATCGTTTGAGATCTACAATAGTCAGCCATTAAATAGAAGCATAAAAAGGCAGAAATCAAACCCTCAACCAACAGAGCAAACTCCCGGATACACCCAAGATGCCCAATAACGCTTGCCTGTCGTTCCTCGATCTCTCGCGGAATAGTCATCCCCCTTCTCGCAAGCTCAAACCCATCCCCACCGTCGTCATCCAAGAAATCGTCATCCCAGTTCTCACTTGGCGAAGGAACAGTTCGAGCAGTGCTGACAACGGGTACACTCTGGCTGCGAATATGAAAACTAGGCACCCTCCTCCCAACCCTATTACCCGATAACAGACTTTCCTTTGCATGGATAGCCTTTGATCTTCGTGAAAGGCTAGGCGGGGTACCATTGTTGGGGATGCTCTCACTCCACTCAAGTATACTTGAGGTCTCTCTAATGCTGCTGCTATCAATAGATAGCCCCTCTAATGCTGTACCGAAACTAGTATTACTTGCATTGTTGAGATTCAAACCAAGACGTGAAGAAAGATGAAGGCCGCTCAGTGGCCTTAGTGCACCGGAAGTAGGAGCCCGTGATTCCCCAGGGTCATCAGCAGACTTCGAAGGAAGATCCCAATCACTACTGGAACCATCGTCGGACATACTGGACCGCTGGATGTGTGGTGTGAGGATGGTGGGAGTGGAGGAAGAAGGTACGTCGTTGCCTTTAGTCGGGGTAAAGTCCGAAGACATAGGGCTTTTGGTGGATCCCATGGGCAAGTGGTATTCACTGGGTTCAAGAGGCGGCAGATGAAAAATAGCATCCAACCGAACAGGGGTTGGTTCCGAAACCCTAGTCCTCACGGAGTCAAAGACCGTTTCACTCTGAAAGTCATCACCTTCAAAGTGGCCCAGGTCCTCACTCCCAACGAGGGTTGATGCCCTCTCCGAAGCGCTGATTACTGATAATCTGTGCTGATGATGTCTACCACCCTGGGGAAAGGGCTCAGAATCCTCCTCCTCCTCCTCATCGCCGTCAGTGTCAGCCTCATAGCTAGGATCAACGGGCGACAAGGTTTCCAGGTGATAATCATCAAGATCATTAGCGTTCATCGCAGGCAGAGCTTCCATGTCCAATTCAAGCGCTGAGAGAGATTGTATGGGGGGAAGCGGATCTCTCTCTTCCCCGCCCATACAAGGCGACACCGGTCGGGGTAACAGTAGATAGGGAGAATCAACAAGAGGCTCTGAAAATCGCCTGGAGACATCCAAATCCGTAGAATACAGTCCAACTAAACCGTCGCTACCCTCTTCTTCGCCGCCTAGACCCTTATCGTGCTGTCCACGCTTCCGCGGACCATTTATGGGGAGAATATTCGAGATCGACAATGAGCGCCTAACATGTCGCTTAGGCGCAGTCATGTTGGTAGATGTCGAGGGGCGGACACGAGAGTGTGAAAAATCGCCAATCCGCGTACCTGGCCTGGAATCGTAGAAGAGCGAGGCGGCTCCCGAAAAGGTGGAAGCTGCGTCGTAGTCTGGCGTCTCGACGGAAGGAGCGAGCATTAATGTTGGCGCCGCCGGCTCTTGGCGAGGCTGGCTCGGATAAATCCTCCGTATTCCAGCAAACTTTGTCAACTTTCCCCCAGCTGCTGATGATGACCTGGCTTTCTGACGTTTAGCTGAGAAGAAAACCCGCCATGAATCCTGAGGCTCCTGAGGGGATAACCGAGGGGGGTTGGACTCAAGAGCGGAGGTGGAAGGACGTGATGCATGGATCGGCGCCAGATGCGAGGATTGGCCCGCGGGAGTTGATTGGATTACAGCCGTCGAGGGCCGTCTAAGATGGCTTGGCGCAGTGGGATGGCCAGCGAGGCGTTGTGAGGGAAGGCGCTTGAGAAGTTTACTTCGCGTGGGCGGCCGCGAGTTTGGGGCGGACGCATCCAATGATGCAGACTGCGAGCGGGAGGGCGAGGAGAAGCTCGAGGAGTTTGTAGAGGTTGCCGGGGAGGAGGCGGAAGACGAGGAGGAAGAAAAGGATAATGATAACCGACGCAACCACTTTCGTGATGTGGACGGTCTAGAGAAGCTTGTACGGAGGGGAGGAGGTACCTCCCGCTGCTTTGTATTGTCAACGGATCCGACCGCTTTCCCATTGGATCCAGCGGGTTTTCGTATTAAAGGAGGTATAAAATTATTAGAGTGAAGAGTAGGATTCGTCAGGTGGTCATTCAAGTCGTTGCCCGTACTTGTACATGGTCGTGCTAAAGCATACCCACAGGCAGCTATGCCGACCGTGGAAGTAGCACACAACTATTGAAACAACTGTCAGTAGATACAAGAAACTCTAAACGGTGGAACAGGAAACCCACAGTAGAAACAGTTTTCATTGCCGAAGAATTACAATGGACAGGATACACAATAGGACAACAAGGTCATGAGCATCGCATCGTGAACCAAGCAAGTCGAAAGGAAAGAAAGCGTATTAAGGCAGGGGGGACAGTATGAATGGTGAAGGGTGAGGAAAGAGGGAGGGATGTTGACGTTGGTTGAGGTTGCCGATTTGCTGATCAACTAGGGAAGAAAAGGAGGGGATATGATGTGAGCAAGGGCAAAATTGAGGGGGGGGAGGGCAGTGGTTGATGATGAAGGGAGATTGCCGACGACGGGATGTCTTGCCTAGATGACCTAGAGAGATGGGAGGGGGGGGCAAAGGTTGTGTGGGAAATGGGAAATGGGAAACGGGAAACAAACGAGGGTGAGGTTAACGAAACAAAACAGAAACGAGTATGATAACAAAATATCTATTTTTTGCGCTTTTTTTTTCCCCCTCAGTTTCTGGTTCCCCCTACCTGTCGAAACCGGCCCGCGTATTTTTGGAGGATGAATAGAAGTGGATTGACTGACTGATTGATTGATTGATGGAATTGGATGAATGGCCTGTGGGATGAAAAATGATGATGTCCAATTCCAAGGGGAATCTAAAGAATGAAGCTAGCTAGCTAGAATGTACACACAGAGATGTGAGCCCAGGTACGCACGAGGGAGGGGAAGGGGGAAGGAAAGGGAGAAGGAAGGGAAGAAGGAAGGGAGTATTGATATGATAGGAAAGTTTCCCAGGTTAGGCGTAGCCCACGCAGACAAGCTACCAGGCACCAAATTGAAGAAGGGAAATGCAAATTACATACCCAAGCTCAAACGGCCTCAGTGGATTGTCAATTTAGTGAGCACGGGCACCGTAAGATATTTCGGGGAAACCGTTCTCTATTTCTGAGATAAAAAAAGATTGGCAGGCAAACGAGAGACAGAATAAGGCCGTTTCTAGTGGTGAAAGAGCGACGGGGTGATTGGCGTGTAAATGACAGAAAAAACAATAATAGTGGGAACGGGTAATAAGTCAAACAAAATCTAAAGAGTGGTAGCGGCGAAGAACGAAAGAGTAGAGCGCGCGCGAAGAAGGAAAAAAAAAAAAGGCCGAAAGCTCGAGTTAAAAGCTAACTTAACCAGCAGTTTTCGGGGCACTCGGGATCTCGGGTTTTTTTATTTTATTTTATTTTTCTTCTCCTCTTTCCCAAGGCGTGAATGGAGGGAGAGCAAAGGGAAAGCCAGTCGAAACGGCTCCCAAAAATTGCACGCACACAACAAACAAACCGCAAGCAAGCAATATGCCAAAGAATTGAAGGGTGGTGAAGAATGGTTGTTGTCGAGCGGGCTGCGCGCGGGTCGAGTTGGGTTGGTTGGGTTGGTTGGTTTACGGGTACTGGTACTCGAGCGCAGGAGAGGGAATGAGTGGTGGAGAGAGGCCCCCTGGAAGTACTGGTACAAGTGCAGGTCGAAATTGTTGTTTCTTTTTCCTTCCTTTCCTTTTTTCCATCCTTCCTCCCTCCCAGAAGCACTCGCACAATGAAGTGGGGGTCGGCAAGAGAGCATCAGCCAGCCAGAGAAGCAAAAGCCCCATAAGGTACACTACAGTTATCCGTAACCACCGTACCGTCATCCAGAAGATCTATCTTGGGAAGGGAGAGCGGAAGGGAGGCAGGAAGGGAAGGGAAGGGAAAGGCCAGCCAAACGATCACAATCAAACTGGGAAATAGCCACTACCGTACCGTGCCCTGCTCGTGTAAAATGACAAGGGAACGGAAGACTCCCCAAAAATCATCTCTCTCTCTACAAGGTGCGTCCAAAACATATTGCACTCTACTCGAGCACTGGTACGGCAAGATACACTTGTACTGGTATCATACCGTACGATGTGGAGGCCAACCAGAAAACTTACAACTAACTATTATACAGTATCCTACCAAACACTGTAACGCTCTGCAAAGCACAGTAAAAGTGGCTCAAATCACCCTCCCATGTGGATGGACGCCACAGGCAAATGAACCACAACAAATTGAAACCCAGGAATGGGAAAAAACGGCTGGCAAGAGGTCAGGCAAAGAGGCGAAGAGAGCTGGCAATTTCTCTCCCTCCCTCCCTCCCTCCTTCCCTCCTTCCTTCCTTCCTTACCCGTACCCTTCTGCCCGTTCCTCCTTTTCCCGTGCAGGAAAGGGTTCCAATTCGATTATGCCACGGCTGACTAAATTATCCGATTTCCTAATCAATAGGTTTTACAAGGAACGACCTA